AAGAAATTAAAGGTGAGATCAAAAAATTTATGGAAACCAATGAAAACTCTGATACAACATTCCAAAACATGTGGGACACCGCCAAAGCAGTGCTACGAGGTAGATTAATCACAATCAGAGCCCATGTCAAGGCCCAAGAAAGACGCCAAATACAGGAACTAACCACACACCTCCAGGATCTGGAAAAACAGCAGCAGAAGAGTCCCACGCACAATAGGAAACAAGAAATCATCAAAACAAGGGAGGAGATAAACCAAATAGAAATCAAAAAAACTATACATAAAATCAACAAATCAGAAAGTTGGTTTTTTGAGAAAATAAACAAAATAGACACTCCACTGGCCCGAATGACCAAAAAAAAACAAGAGAAAATGAGAATCAATAGCATTAAAGATGAAAAAGGCAACATAACAACAGACACTGCAATCATTAAGAAAATAATTAGAAATTACTACAAAGAACTGTACTCCCACAAATTTGAGGACCACCAAGAAATAGAAAAGTTCTTGGACTCCCACCACTTACCAAAACTCAGTCCGGAGGCAACTGAAGAATTAAATAAACCCATAACCGAGGTAGAGATTGAAACAGTCATCAAGGATCTCCCAACGAAAAAAAGCCCAGGCCCAGACTACAGAATTCTACAAAACATTCCGAACAGAACTAATCCCAACCCTCTACAAGCACTTCAAAACAATAGAAGAGGATGCAACCCTTCCAAACTCATTCTATGAAGCCAATATCACCTTAATCCCCAAACCGGATAGAGAACCGTCAGAGAAGGAAAACTACAGACCTATTTCTCTGATGAACATTGATGCTAAAATTCTCAACAAAATCCTAGCCAATAGAATTCAAAAAATCATCAGACAGATCATTCATCCGGATCAAGTAGGATTCATCCCTGGAATGCAGGGATGGTTCAACATTTGGAAATCCATAAATGTTATAAACCATATCCAAAAACTGCAAAACAAGAACTACATAATAGTTTCAATAGATGCAGAAAAAGCTTTCGACAAAATCCAACACCTCTTCATGCTAAAAACTCTAGCCAAAGTAGGCATAGATGGGAAAATCCACAACATAATCAAAGCAATTTATGAAAAACCCAACGCCAGTATCATACTGAATGGAGAAAAGCTAGAACCCTTCCCACTGAGATCTGGAACAAGATAAGGGTGCCCGCTATCACCACTGCTATTCAACATAGTCCTAGAGGTACTTGCAGAGGCCATAAGACAAGAAAAAGAAATCAAAGGCATACGTATAGGAAACGAAGAAGTCAGGCTTTCACTATATGCAGATGACATAATCCTATACATAGAAAAACCAGGAGACTCACTACAGAAACTACTAGAACTTATACGAGAGTTTGGCAGAGTGGCAGGGTACAAAATTAATGAACGAAAATCAACAGCCATAGTGTACGCAAATAACACCAAGATGGAAGAAGATCTAACCAACAGGATACCATTAAAAACAGCAGAGAGAAGTATGAAGTATTTGAGAATAAATCTAACCAAAAGCGTAGGAGACCTATTCGAAGAAAACTACAAACTATTTAAAAAGGAAATTGAACAAGACCTCAAAAGATGGAATAACATCCCGTACTCCTGGATAGGCAAAATCAATATCATTAAAATGTCTACACTACCACAAGCAATATACATTTTCAATGCAATTCCAATCAAATTGCCCAAAACATTCTTCACGGAAATGGATACAATGATTCAAAAGTTCATCTGGAAACACAAAAAACCACGAATAGCTAGAACCATCCTGAAAAATAAGAAGTTAGCAGGGGGAATCACAATCCCGGACCTCTGGACATACTATAGAGCAGTGGTTATCAAAACAGCCCGGTACTGGCACAAAGACAGGAAGGAAGATCAATGGAATAGAATAGAAGCACCAAAAGGGAACCCACACAGATATAGCCAATTAATCTTTGACAAAAAGACCAATGACAGTCCAAGGAAGTGGGAAGGCCTCTTTAGTAAATGTTGTTGGGACAACTGGCTGATAGCCTGTAGAAACAAAAAGATAGACCCACATCTATCACCATACACTAAGATCCAATCTACATGGATAAAAGACCTAAACCTACATCCAGAAACCTTCAAACTCTTGCAAGAAAATGTAGGAAATACCCTGCAAGAACTAGGAGTAGGTCCCGACTTTCTAAGAAGGACACCAAAAGCAATAGCAGTTGAGATCAGAATAAACAAATGGGACCTCATCAAACTAAGAAGCTTCTGTACAGCAAGGGAAACAATCAACAAAGTAAAAAAGCAACCCACAGAGTGGGAGAAGATCTTTGCACATGATATAGGCGAGAGGGGGCTAATTTCCAGGATATACAAAGAACTTCAAAACAACCAAAAAACCAAAACAAACAAGCCACTCAAGAAATGGGCACGGGAAATGGGCAAACATTTCACAAAGGAACAAGTCCAAATGGCAAACAAACATATGAAAAAATGTTCCAGCTCCCTGGCAATAAGGGAAATCCAAATTAAAACATCGATGAGGTACCACCTAACACCAGTAAGATTGGCCCACATAAACAAGAACACCAACGACGCTTGCTGGCGAGGATGCGGGGAAAAGGGAACCCTACTCCACTGCTGGTGGAGCTGCAAATTGGTACAGCCTTTATGGAAATCAGTCTGGAGAACACTCAAACAACTCAAAATCTGCATACCATATGACCCAGCAATAGCACTCCTAGGAATATATCCAAACCACCTGTTTTACGACAAACCAACATGCATCCCTATGTTCACTGCAGCACAATCAGTAATTGCAAAAACATGGAAGCAACTGAAATACCCATCAGCAGAAGATTGGATAAGAAAGCTTTGGTTCATCTACTCCATGGAATACTACTCAGCTATTAAAAAAAAACAAAATGCAGTTCTTTGTGGCTAAATGGGCCCAACTGGAAACTATAATGCTAAGGGAAATGAGCGAATCCCAAAAGGTTAGATACCACATGTTTGCCTTGATTTAACCTGTAATTTTTTGTTTGGTTGTTTGTTATTTTTTGAACCTGTCATTGATACTGTCTCAACCCAGATGTTTCGAAGAATGGAACTTGCATTATTTTTAACATATTGTTTACCCAATACTATGTCATTCAACTAATTCCATAATGTTGTATATTGATACTGAGGTCTTGTTGGGGCTTTTAACTGAGTGGATCTTTACTCTGTTAGCCCTACCTTCAGACCAGAGGAGGTCTCCCCAAGAGGCCACTGAACTTATCTGGACAATAAGACGCTGAACTTTATGCTAGGCATGTGTTTGCAAGGAATGAATCTCAACTGAACTTGAACTATGGTTATGCAACAAGGTGGAGGAATCCACCATGGGGGGAGGGGTATGGGAGGGGAGGGGGGAATCCCCAGCGCCTATAAAACTGCACCACAATGTAAACAACAATAAAATTAAAAAAAAAATCTCTGAAGCAGTTATACATAAGTGACTTTAAGAATTTATCTGAATTGAAGCTGTGTCTTCCCCCAATGCTGCACAGGTCATTGTAAATCTAGCCTAAGGATCAAAAGAATGTATTCGGAAGCCAGGCTGACCACCAACTAATGGGTCAGAGACTTGTTAACTATGGAATTATGGGCCAATTAATCCACTATGCTGAATTACAGTTGCTTAATTAAAATAAAAACTAACTATGATAACCTATCCTTTTCAAAACTACTATTATCACTATGAGAAATCACTACTGTTAACCACATTAAACAATATGCAACTCCAGACTACAACAATCAATAAATAATGAATTTTTCATCTCTGCTTTCCTTTGTGATACAGGCTCAAAATATTCTGAAAACTGTGGTAGCGAGTTCTCATTAGGGTTCATTATGGAAACCATAACACTTAAGTGTACAAACACATTATGGTGCCTGCTCTGGGAAACAGTGACATGGACATTCCATAATCTAAGAAAAAGGTGCTACCCAACACAAAAATTTTTTTGCATAAACATCTAAGAAAGAAAATTGATTTTTACAACATCATATGAACTTGACAGCTAATTTCCAGGAAATAGTATTTTCTAGCAGGAAAGACAAGAATTTCAAATGACAATAGGCTAAGATGTGGGATCCATGTGAGATATATTTTTTTTTATCATCTTATTTATCAGGAAAGAGATTTTCTATCCACTGTTTCACCCCCAAATGTCTGTCACAGTGTGGGCTGAACTCAATGCATCTCCCACACGGATGGCAGAGATACAGGACTTGAATCTTCATGCTGCTTCCTTGGCTGCTCACAAGCAGGAATGTGGTGCTGGGACTCAGACTCAGCACTCCTGCCTGGGATGCGGCCGTTCCAGGAGGCATCTTAGCCTCTGCGCCAAATATCAACTTCAGGACGATTTGTTTGTTATTTTGGCAAATAAACCTTCAGAATGCTTTTGAGTTGATTCTCAGTAATTTCTTTTCAGCATAAAATTAAAAGCAATTTATCCAAGTTATTGAGAAGAATTTGGGTTTCCTTCTTGTGCTTTTCTGTTTGTGTATTTCAAGTTTCACCCATCAGCAACTTCATTTTTTGACAATCTGCCTAGTTTGTTCCAGTCAATATCCATTTCAGTTATATCATCTTTTTGTATTAATACGAAATACAACCAGTATCAAGTTCCAAATTCTTACGTGTTATTTGGAGGCTTCTAAATTTAATATTAAGTTCCATCATTTGTGTTTTCAGTAAGCAGCAAATGATTACTTTGTGCAACATTGATAGCACATTTTGAATTCCATAACGGTAACTAATGTTCTCACAAGAGACAAACGGTAGAGGTAACAAAGAATTGTAAAACCCTGTCATGCCTATTTTGTTTATGTAAAGTAGATAAACACACAAGCAGCTGACACAGAGCCACCTGAGCCCCAGCATCCCCAGTCACAGAATTATCCCTGGCCGGGTTAGCACCCAGCCCTGCAATACCCTCCGGGGCTAGCAGTCCCCATTACCAGGTCTGGTCTCCATGGTTCCTGCCTCTCGTCCTGATCTTCGGGAGCTGTTGTTCTGTTCCTTCATCCCCCTCGTTGGCTGCTGCAGATGGTTTCCTGATATCCTCCTCTGGGAAGCAATCCCCGCAGGGTGATTTCACCCCACTCGCCATTCTTGCCTCCGATGACATTCAAGAGACACTCGCACTTAAAATGAAGAAAAGAACGTTTATGGCGAGGCTACCGGCGTTTCTCCCACCCTGGAGAGCCCAAGGTCAGCCCAGCAGATGAGCCAGAGGTCTCACCTGGATGTCCCAACTGAAATGCCAGGCCACACCCAGCATTCCCACAATCTAGCCTCACAATGACTGTTGCCAAGCAACTCCCTTAACGAATGCGCCCTCCTGTGCCTCTAGAGGGCGCATGCGCAAGTCAAGCCAATGGTCAGGAATAAGGAGTGCTTCTTTTTAGGGCTCACCCATGTTTTACGTGAAAGCACAAGCTTTTTATTGTTCAGCAGCAAGCCACTATAGGGTATGGATCTATACCTAGGTCATGTCAGCTGAGTGGAAAGCTGCTACTTTGTGTTTCTCTAGGGCCGAGTGCTGGGATGGGCTATGCAGGAAACAGGGCTTATGGGCAAGTGAGGGCTGAGCTGTATGCGTCAGGCTTTTCCAGGCTGCATGTTGTTGCTTTTGTAAAGATTCTTTTTTCTTTTAAATTTTAATGGCATAATTACAGAAAAGGAGAGAAAAAATGGCGATGGTTAGATCAATCTCCCATCCAGGTCTTTCATGTATGTATTGGAGCCCAAGTACTCTGCCCATCTTTGCTTTCCTTCCCAAGCATGCTAGCAGGGAGCTGGACTGTAGCTTCCAGCAAGGGTGTTCGCAGCCTTGATCAACAATCTCTTCTTAAAATGGGACTGGTTTAATGCTGTTTTCCCAGGGTTGCAGGAAGGTGACTGGAGTAAGGTAAATACCAACTCCCTTATCCTACACTGCTCATGGCCTCTGCTGTCCCTTGGTGATCCAGGCTGCCCTTGTTGCTGGCAGGTCCTGACATAGTACATGTTAGGAGGCTGAGAAGGCTGGGAGAGAATCCCAGTGGTTGGCCTGAAGACATAGTTGGCCCTCCTCTGCCTCTGTTAGGATGACAGGCACTGTTCCTTGACTCCAAAAGGAGCTCCTTTGTCTTTAAGTCTCACCTGCTGGGACAGCTGCAGGTTTAGGCTTTCCCAGCCCTTGAAGGTGTGGGAGGTCTTCCTGCATCTATGCAGCCCAAACCACACTTGTACAGCTGTGCAGTGTGTGCTCATCTCCCTCACCTGAAAACCAGGCCTGCAATGACAGAGATCCTTGCTTCCATGATCACCCTGGCTATACAGCCAGCCAGGTATGTGACACTTCCATGGTTGTTCCATGGTGTGGTATCAGATCTGTGAGCCCAGATCAATTCAGTTTGTATTTTGTTTTAAACAGCTTACAGTTAGCATCTCTCTTTGTTCACCTAATCTAATGATATCTCTACTTTCCTTTAAGCAGTTGTGATTGCATTCAGGGATGTATTGGCAGACTTACTAGCTCTTAACATACTTAATTACTAAGGTCTTTAAAGATTTGTTTATCTAAAAGACAGAGAAAGATAGAGAATTTTTCACAATCATTGCAAATCACAAAAGGTCACAATAGCAGGGCCAGGCCACATTGAAGTCAAGAGCTGAGACCTCCTTCCCGGCCTCCCATGTAGATGTCAGAGCCCAGACACTTGAACCATCACTTGCTACCATCTTAAGTGAATTAGCATGGAGCTGGATGAGGAGTGAAGTAGCTGGGGCTCAATTATAGCTCCCACACGGGATGCTAGCATCACAGTGAGGTGACATAATCCACCCACACTGCCATCACACATCTTCTGAGATTCTTTGCCTGTGTAAATGGCTGCCCCTGCATGTGAACTGCACTCACTCATTTGCCTCCTGTGAATAGGGGTGACGAGAATAGTACTCAGAATTAGGGGAATTAAAAAAAATAACTGTGGCTTTCCTTTGTTCTCACTCTCTGGTTGATTGGTTTTTGGGAAAGTTAAAAGTCCCATTAGCTCCTTCTGAGGAGCCCCACATGACAAGGTACTGCATCTCATCTCTGGCTGATGACTGCCAAAAGCTGGGACCCTTCGACCAAAGACCTGTGAGGAAAATGAGTCACACTGAGTGCAATGTGAGTAGACTTGGAGGACAATGTTCCCACAGTTGAGATGGTAGGTTTGGATGATCCCGTGAATGTGGGCTTCAGAGAGACCTTGTGGCAGAAGGCTTAGCCACATTTGGATTTTTGACCCACTGAAGCAGCTGTGAGACAGTATTACCATATTAAGTTTCTAGCCATTTTTTTTTACATTTAAAAGCTTTAGGAAAGATAAAATCTGAATTTTTCATTTTTTTGCAGCTGAAATGAAAACATGAATATTTCATGCATATTTCCTTGTAACCTCTCTAGGGTGAAACAATCTACAGATGTTAAAGATTATATAGAACATTAACCCTCATGAAAATCTCAGAACACAGGAATAGCTTCAAAGTACTATTTATTGTGGCTCTTTTTACAGTAAGTAAATGTTTAGCAGATGTAAACTATTCAATATTTGCCACCAAGTATCAGTAAACATAGTATTCGCTAGCATATTACTTCCAAGTTAAAATAACAAAAATAAACACCAATAACTATAATTCTTTTTTTTAAAAAAAGATTTATTTATTTGTTGGAAAGTCAGATATACAGAGAGGAGGAGAGACAGAGAGGAAGATCTTCCGTCCGATGATTCACTCCCCAAGTGAACGCAAAGGCCAATGCTGGGCCAATTTGAAGCCAGGATCCAGGAGCTGCTTCCAGGTACCCACATGGGTGCAGGGTCCCAAAGCCATAGGCTGTCCTAGACTGCTTTCCCAGGCCACAAGAAGGGAGCTGGATGGGAAGTGGATCTGCTGGGATTAGAACCGTTACCCCTATGGGATCTTGGGGCATTCAAGGCGAGGACTTCAGCTGCTAGGCTGGGCCACTATAATGCTTTTTAACAACGTTATAAAACACCACATTAAGGTATAAATTCTTTGGATTTAACAATTCTTTAAAAACTGCTACCATCAATCCTCCCCTGCCAGCACATGATTAAAAAGCCCTGAGAGCAAACAGAGCACATAACAACTCCGAAAAGGTCAGCCCCAATGAAATGTCATTGTTGACTTTACAAGAATAGGGATTTGAAAAACAGTTCAACAAGGATGAGGCCATCCAGTGGATGTGGGAAAAGTGTAGGAAATCTGCCCCGTTTTCTACTCTGTATGCTGCCTTTTATATTTGGTGGGAGGCCCCTCACGGACAAACAAAGACTGAACTGAGGAAACCATTAGTGCTCTGGGATCTAACCCTTGCAGTCTTCAGTATATTTGGTGCTGTTTGAACTGTGCATCTATGGTGTATATTCTAGTGACCAAAGGTTGAATGCTGTTAGTTCCTGGTCAGAGTTCAGTCAGTTTTTACAATGGACCTGTCATCAAATTCTGGACTTACATATTTGTCCCAAGCAAAGCAGCAGAACTAGGAGATACACTCCATTATTCTGAGGAAGCAGAAGCTGATCTTCTTGCGCTGTTTTCATGACATCACTGTGCTCCTATGCTCCTGGTACTCCTACAAAGACGTGATTGCCGGTGACAGCTGCTCTGTGGGCATGAACAATGATGCACATGCTGCAATGTGCTGGCTATGCCTTGTGGGCTGAGGGTTTCTGAGTTTTTCAGGAGTTTTCTGTGTTCATCACCTTGTCCAAGATCACTCAGATGCTGATGGGCTATCATTAACTACCTGGTCTTCCACTGGGTGAAGCAGATCAATACTCATGCAACTCAACTCCCTTGTGCTCTTCTGCCATTTGGTCTTTGAGGCTTATATCGACAAAATGTGGAAAACAAGCAAAGCTGAATAGTGTTCGGCATGGTGGAGGAAGCCATAGCTTGGGTCACCCAAATAATAACCAAACAAGAAAATTTCACAAGGAATCACACATGGTGCAGCTACAAACAAAACAAAACACATGGGCAAACACATACCCCAGGCAGCTGAGTGATGACTGGACTGAGTCCAACAAGTTTATCATCCTTTTTGTGTGAGGACTTGCTGAGTGCATCATCATTTCCACACACAGCTGCCAGACAGTCCCATCCCCTCAGTCTGCAGAACCAATGAGGACTCACGAGGGAGCATGGGGGGTGAAACAAAAGGGTGCTCACAGTAAAGGAAAACAATAATAAAAATGTATGTCCTAGGTGTCCTGGCTCTCTAAGGATGGAATGCCTTTAAGAAACTATGAGCACGGGCCCGGCGCGGTGGCGCAAGTGGTTAAGTCCTCGCCTTGCAACCCCGGGATCCCATATGGGCGCCGGTTCTAATCCCGGCAGCCCCGCTTCCCTTCCAGCTCCCTGCTTGTGGCCTGGAAAGCAGCAGAGGACGGCCCAAAGCTTTGGGACCCTGCACCCGTGCGGGAGACCCGGAAGAGGCTCCTGGCTTCGGATCGGCATAGTATCGGCCCGTTGCGCTCACTTGGGGAGTGAATCATCGGACGGAAGATCTTCCTCTCTCTCTCCTCTCTCTGTATATCCGCCTTTCCAATGAAAAAAATAATAAAAATAAATCTTTAAAAAAAAAAAGAAACTATGAGCACACAGACACAGAATCTGTTCTCTGTTTCTACATCAAAGTGGAACCCATAGGAAAGAGACACATGGAAGAGACATAGGGCACAGATCTAGAACAGCAATACTGTGGTAGTCAGCTAAGCCTTGCTCAGAAAGGCTAGCAGGCACAGCCCCTGTGAGAAAAGATGTCTTAATCCTTTTTTGTTTGTTTTACTTTTCAACAGAACAACAACAACAACAACAAACAGTATTTCTCCCCTAATTGCATAGCCTCATGCTGGGGAGTTTGGCAGAACTATACAGGACACACTTTTTTTTTTTTCCTTTTCCAAGGTTCTGATTGGAACAATGAGAACCAGGCAGCCTGGGAACTACTTGGTTCCGGGGTACATCTGACAGAGGATGTGATTTCTACTCTCATGTGAGGTAGGAAGCCTTATCCTGAGTTCAGCTTCCCCAGACAAAAGAATCAAATCACTC